TTTGGTATTTTACTCTTGGCAATGCTGTTCAATGGAAAGGATGGAGTATCTAAAAACTATCTGTAGTACCGTACTTCTCTGAAAACAGCAATCCTTAGTTTTACCTGTGCTATTAAATATGTTCCTTCAGTTAAAAATCTTTAGAATTCTTCTTGCAAATGGCAAGAATACTGTCAGGCTTCAGAAAATCTAAATCCATAGGAAAATAGAGTATTCTGTAATTACTACTGTTTCAAAAATACAAAGAAGCTTAGGAAGAGACTGAAAAATATCTTTATGGCCTGTCTTCACTAAAAATGTGTTGCATTGCAATGTTTCTGTAAAACACACAAAATAGAAATAACAGCGAAAGTTTGGGGAGTAATAGCAAGGGAAATGTAAGACTTGACTCTTCAGTGATTAAATCAAGCTTTGGATTGCACTCCCAACTGAGGTCAACCTACACATAATTATACTATCTGCTGTAACATTTTTAAAGCTTTATGGACAAAATATTTTTTTACAAAATACTGAAGAAAGAAACAATCTTTGTTAAACAGTTCAAATATAAGTGCTGTTAAATGGAAAAAAATGTGTTTCCTGCTAGTTAGAGTCTATCTGCATAATAGTTGCCTGAAATGTATGGATTCATTTAGTTGTGAACAATGTAACATCTGTGAAACATGATTCTTAAAATAAATCCAGTATTCAATGGGTATAGCACTAGTCAGGCCTGTACAGGATGTTACTCTACCCTCCTCCACCCACTTCTTTAAATAGTATAATTAAAAAATTGTGAAAGTCAAAAATTCATACCGAGACTGTTGAAGTTAGTATCTGTGCTGAGTATTAATCATGAGTGATGCATAAAATGTGCCACAAAATTTTTTCATTTATTTTATGCTAACAGCTTGAAAACTGCATGGTTTTAAGGTACCAGGTTGGTTTAGGCATTTGGCCAGTTTAACCAGTGTCTCCATCTTACTAAAAGGTTTTAGCTGAATTTTAGTGTTTCTAATAGCATATTGTATAGGCATTGCTTGTGTGGAAGTAGGAACATACACAGTTAAACTTGTGGAGTGCCTGGTTTACTTTATGACATTATTAATTCAGAGGATTCTGTGCTAGACCCAGTGTTATTGTTATCTGATAGTCTGAATACTGTCTGGATGACAGCCAGCTAAAAAAGTGCTTTAGCTGATTTTGATCCAGGACAGGAGAGCTTCCACTGGACTGCTTTATAGAGCAAAGTGGGAGAGGTCCTCTGTACAGCCAGTTTAGCACTATCTGTCTTCCGTGTCAATGCCCCCCTCCCTTTAGGATTGGTGGCAATGAATCAGCCTGGACTCTTTATCAGGCTTAAAAGGCTCTGTCTAGAAGTAGAATCAAAGCTATCAGTCTTCTATTCATACCACACTGTATTGGTGAAGACTTGATGATTGGTTCAAAAAAAAGGTTCAAAAAAGCGATCAGTTCCAAAAAGCTGAGAGAATAGTCTGACCTTTCTGTATTATTTTAAACTGTGTACAAAGAATCACAGAATCGTTTAGGTTGGAAAAGACCCTTAAGATCATCAAGTTCACCAGAAAACCATGTCCCTAAGCACCGTATTTACACATCATTTAAACACCTCCAGGCATGATGACTTAACCGCATTCCTGGTCAGCCCGTTCCAATGCTTGACAACCCTTTTGGTGAAGAAATCTTTCCTAATATCCAAACTGAACATCCCCTGGTGCAACTTGAAGGTGTTATCCTCTTATCCTATCACTTATTACTTGGGTAAAGAGACTGACACCCACCTCAATACAACCTCCTTTCACGTACCTTTCAGGTAGTTGTAGAGAGCAATAAGGTCTCCCCTGAGCCTCCTTTTCTCCAGACTAAACAACCCTAGGTCTCTCAGCTGCTCCTCATAGGACTTGTTCTCTAGAATCCTCACCAGCTTTGTTGCTCCTCTTTGGATACCCTCCAGCATCTCAATGCCTTTCGGGGGGGCGGGGAGCAAAACAGTATTCAAGGTGTGGCCTCACCAGTGCTGAATACAGGGAGGTGGCCATACTGTTTCTGATAGAAGCCAGGATGCTATTTGCCTTCCTTGCCACCTGGGCACTTATCATAACTATAATTTCAAATGCATGTCATAATTTCTCTGTGTTTTTCTTTTCAAAACTGTATTTTTTTCACACTTCTTTTAGTTTCTTCTTTGTCATGTAACTTTTAACCTAAGTGAAATCTGAGGCAGCCATTTTATGGTGTTGAGCTGACAGGACAAAATAATTTAAATGTTCTTTTGCATTGGTTTGCAACCTTTGTAGAAAAGGTTAATATTCAGATGTTTTTCACCAAAACACTGTCTGAATGACCCTGTAGAAGAACACGTTAATGGTAGGATGTAATGAGGCTGTATGTAACCAGTGTTTGCAGGTTGGTTGCATTCCAACTTGTTTTGAAGAATATTCCTATTCAGTAATTCTTTGGCCTTTGCACCAAACAGAATAAGGTGGTACTCTCTAGTTTCCAAATAATTTTTCATGTTTTATTATGGCAACTGTAGTTTAAATGACTGTCTTCCAGAGTATGAGGACTATTAAATAGGCCTTAAGAATCATCTGTAAAGGAAAAAAAAACCCTGCATTGTATTGTTCTGTTCTTGGCGTGAGATTACTTAACATTCTCTGTTGAAAGGTAATAAATATTCTCTGATTTTTGTAATTTTTTGTTGCCCTTTAGAATTTGTATTCTAGTAGAATAGTAGTGTTTCATGATGAAACAAAGGTGTACATTTATTTAATGAGAAAATACTAATAGTCTCAGAACTAAAGAGAAATTAATATTACAGTGTGCTGTAGAGCTGCTGCTAATAATAGAGATCCTTCTTACAATGGGTTGCTTGAGAAGAAAGGTTTGTTTTTTCAGTACCTTGACAGAAGGATAATTACAATTTGGGTATTGCAAGAGGGTTTTCTGATAGTATGAGAGAGAAGTAGGAGAAGGCTTAGTATGGAAACTCTCTTTTTAGGCACTAGAAAAAAGAGGAGCTGAGGAAGAAGGTGGCTTTATAGACTAGATGGTTAAAACAGCGAGTGGGCTGGAATAATACATGAAATCTGTAGGGAGTTAGGGCTGAAACCCAAGAGCATCTGGGATGACTTCTGTCCCTATTAATGCAGTTTATTATGTCTGTTTAACCCTGGAAGTTCATAAAATGTCAGTTTTGCAGACTGCAAGCTGCAAACCACTACCCAGTACTTTCAGTGAGAACTCAAATGACACAGAATATTATGTGTGGCTGGAAGAGAGTAGCAGGGCATAGCAAAGGACCTTGCAATAGGAACAATTTCCTAGGTGAAGTAGTTTAGGTAATGTAACAGATTGCCTCTTGTTGCTGAAGAATGTTACATCTGCTACACCATCTCTCCCAGTCCTTGTATCTCTGCTAAGCCTTGCTGAGGGAAAGCTGTTTATGACTTGTCATCTGACCATTTTTTTAATGCTGAACATGTAAATAAAGCTACTGTGAGCCTCTCTGCATTCTGCCCTGCATTCTCTCTCTAATCTTGGCCAATCTTTAGTACTTTAAAGGAAGCTGTGGTGGGGTTATGGGGATCTTCAGAAGCTTCACATTTACATGGGGATCTTCACAGAAGCTTCAGAAACTTCGCATTATTAAGAGAAAATTTTTCTTGTCAGGTGACTGAAACAGCATAGTAGACAGTATGGTCATCAAGAGGATATAAATGAACCAGACACCAAAGGACTGTTGACTTCAATTTCTAATCTGCAGTTCCCTCTATTTTGTCTTCCAGTTACAATACTTGATGCAGTTGAGTATACTGAGAATATTTCATGTAGGCTTGGCATCCAATTTGAATGAACGGATAGAAGATACAATGTGCTTATTCCATAGCATTCCTAATCCCTGTAAACTTTATTTAAACTTTGACTGTGAATATATGCTTTTGAGATAATAGTATAAAGGACAAGTGACTTTGAATTTGAAATTTGTATGAGAGGAGAATTAATTGCAGATAACCTTGTCTCTAAACACATCAAGTACTCCACATGTCTGTATGAGATTAGTTTTTGTTGAACATTTGAATATTCTTTTAGAAATGGTAAAAGCTTTCCAGTACCATGTGAGGTCTGCCCAGGCAAATGCCCAAAATAGATGCAAACCAAGTGTATAAATTAAAAACGTACATTGTAGCAAATTGTTAGAAATAGATAAATTTTTGGCTTCGTAAGAACTAAAAGAAGGAATGGATGATGTTGTGTTTTCTTATATGAATTAAACCAAATTATTTTACTCAAGTATTTTTTTTAAAGCTTATAATACTTAGATATCTTTTCTTAAAAAATCTAATGGAACATTTGTGCATTTGACTTTCATGCATAAACTATTTAGGCTAAAATCACAAACTGGGAGGCAAAATTATCAGAAAGGCACATCACTGTTTTGTTTCATATAGATTGTTATCTGTGTCTGGAGCTGCACTGTTACATGGGGCTATGTGGGTTTGAAGTACAGACATGCCAAAAAAACCCCAAACCCAAACACCAAAAAACCTAGAAGGATCAAAATGTGACTTGTTATCTTTTGTTTTCTTTTCTATCACTCCTTCTGCTGCTCCACCCCAGCCCCTGACACCTGAAAGTAGGAAATGTGCGGAGTAGCATGTCTGTTACTACATTATAGGTTGTTGTACTAGGTTGATTTTTATGCTGTCTTTGTGCTCATGTTCATTGCCTTCCATAGATTTTTGGAAAGAAAAAAATCAATGAGAGTGCTTGCACATTTTGAGTTAAAGTTGTCAGAGACATGCTCATACTTCATTGGCTAAAGTCAAGATTTAGATGGGGTTTAAGATTTTTTTGTTGTTGTCGTTGGATTAGTTGAGATGATTTTGTGGCAGAGGGAAGATAACACAAGAGGATGGGCTGAAAAGTATTTTTAAAATGACTGTCACTTTTATCAGGAATGTTTGAATACATTCACTAAAATTCTACTTCTTCTACAGCTTCTGGAAAAACATAAGAACACTGAAAGCATGGTAGAGCTGCTTGAACTGTATCAAATGGAAGATGAAGCCTACAGTAGTCTTGCAGAAGCTACTACAGAGCTCTACCAGTACTTACTACAGCCATTCCGAGATATGAGGGAACTTGCGATGCTTAGAAGACAGCAGATAAAGGTATGGTAAAGGTAACTGTACTTTCTATTAATGGGGAAGTCATGCTTCTTAGTTACTGTTTACTACTTGTATTATGCAGTATATGCAGTGGTGGTTTCTCCACTAGATGTTGACCCTATTTTTCTGGTTTCTACACTCAGAAGAGTGCTTTTGAAGACTCAGAACATCTCTGACATGTGTAGCTAACCATCACCTGTTTATCCTACTGTGTGTGACTGTTCAAATTCATTGCTGAATTTAGTAAGTCAAACTTACAATTTTGTGATTACTGGGAATACCAACTAATATATAAAACAGAGATATATGTATGGTATCTATACTACTGATAATACTTTTAAGATTACACAGGAGGTTATTTTTCATCTTAGTTTTCTGAGATAATCTGGTAAACCATGAGAAGTGGGTAGCTTTTCATCAAATGTTATGAATCACTTAAACATTGAAGCATATTAGAAGTATATAATTTATTGTGACACTTTAACAGTATATTTTCCTAAATTTTGGTAAAACTGTCTTATAATGTGTATATTTGTTTTATTTAAAAATAATTTAATTTTAAATACTAAATCAAAAATAAAAAATGTAATCTTTATTGCATCTCAGAAGTACTTTTGATACAATCATTAATTCCTGTGCAGATTATTAAGGCTATAGCCTTCTGATTCTTCTAATATAGGTATTGTAACATAGAAGTTAAAATGGGTTTGTTTTATTTAATCTGTATTGGAAATGTCAATTTATCCCAGTTTGGCACCTTGTTCAATTAGCCAACATTGTTTTTACTGATTTCAATTTAAGAATGTAGTGTTTTTCTCTGATTTTGAGTATAGAATGAAGGAGGGAGACAAGAGGATTTTACGATTCCAAAACTAGTTTTATTTTGAACTACTTTTGTGCCCCTAAAGTAATTTTTCAGAAAGTTCATCAACCTGAAACTAATTTGATAAAATAATGTGGTGATATTTGAACTAAAAGTACTTTTTAACCCCCAAGTGATAAAATGTTGTTGCATAGAGAATTGGGGTATTTTTTTCAGATGTATTATGGTTGAAGATTATAAACATAACATTTATTAGAAAACCTTCTTCAAAGCGTCATGAAATAGTTCCTATTTTATTTGAATTTTTAGCAGAAGAAAAGATGATTTTGTGATTTTGTCAAACAAGAAAAGGCAAATATATTGAATAGGAGATATGTGGTTTGGTTTTTTTGTTGTTTTAAACCTCTATGACCTCTTGAATATACCTCCTTTTCTGTTTTTCCCGAAAGAATAACCTTGGTAAATTTCAGAGACATGTTCTTGTGCTTGATTATTTCAGTCATACACAGTTGCATCTAATGTACATTAGGTTCTCTTCCTGACTTGGCAATTTTTGAGTTATAAAACGTCATCTGTATTATGTGGTAGTGAAGATGCCATCTCTTGTTTTCATTTCACTGAGAAAGCAGTACTTGGATCTATGATGACTATGTATTACTCTGGGTAGCTAGAGTAGAATTGCTTCATAAATAGAACTTGTGTTTGAAATGGTTTGTGTTAACTTGTATATGTTTTTCTGGCAGGATTAATAATGGAACAAAGATCCTTAGGTTTCAATAAATCCTTATGGCTGAGATTTTCTCTGTTTTCATAACAAGTATTTCAGGTGCTTACTACCTCAGTGAAATGGGAGCTGTGAATACATAATAGTGTTCACATATAAAGAGTGACAATGACAAGGACAAAAGTTTGGATGTAGGGTGTGCTGGTTTTGGCTGGGATAGGATTAATTTTCTTCATAGTAGCTAGCATGTTACTGTGTTTTTTGATTAGTGCTGAAAACAGTGTTGATAATACAGGAATGTTTCAGTTATTGCTGGGCAGTGCTTATGCAGAAGCAAAGCCTTTTCTGCATCTCAACCCACCCCACCAGTGACTAGGTTGAGGGTGCACCAGAAGTTGGGAGGGGACACTGACTGAGGGATATTCCATACCACATGGTGTCATGCTCAGCAGATAAAGCTGAGGAAGAAAAAGGAAGGGGGGGATGTTCAGAGTGATGACATTTCCTCTTCCCAAGTAACCGTTAAGATGATGGAGCCCTGTTTTCCTGGAGATGCCGGAACACCTGCCTGCCGATGGGAAGTGGTGAATGAATTCCTTGTTTTGTTTTGCTTGCATGCATGGCTTTTGCTTTACTTATTAAGATGGCTTTATCTCAACCTACAAGTTTTCTCACTTTTACCCTTCTTATTTTCTCTCCCATCCCCCCAGAGAGGAGTAAGCGAGCAGCTGTGTGGGGCTTATTTGCCAGCTGAGGTTAAACCTGTATATAGTGCAGGATAAGAAAGGAAGAACCTGCAGAATGCGTTAATAAAATGAAAAAAAAAAAAAAGTTATAAGGATATTTAAGCTTGAATACAAATACTAGTATTTAGTTGAGATTGTATATGCTTTTTGTAATTATTTAGCATTTTCTCTGTTAAGTATCTTTTTGGTTTGTGGAGAAGTTGTTTTAGTTTGGGTTTTAAGAGTTTGTGGTTTTTAATGAGTATTTTAATGAGTTTCATTTTGTCAGTTTTCAGAATGAGTTTGGGAGGAGATAAATTGCTTTTCATATAGACTTTGGGAAGAGTGATTTGTGTCTTTTCCTTTTAGAGCAAGATATACAAATTGTATCACTGGGTGTTAAATTTCTGCTGTTGCTCTGATACTTTTAGCAAGAGGCAAGTGTACTGGAGGGCGGAAGAAACAAACACAAAACTTTTTCTGCAAAATCGTTCTTTGGGGGGGAAAAAAAAAACAAACAACAAACAATCCAGAACTAAAGTTCATAGCAAAGTGAAAACATTTAGAAGCTTGAAAATGCAGATTAGTGTTGTTGATAGATGGGATAGAAGTATTTTTCTTTTTTAAAAAAATATTTTAACTTGATTATAGGCTAGTTTTTCAGGTGTATTTTGCTTCATTTAGTGTGAAGGATGGATCATTTAGTATGGGTAAAGAGTTTAAAGCTGTATCATGAAGTACTTAAATATAGCTGAATTTGGAAAACGCAATTAAAAAGGTTAAAGATTATAGAAGGAACAGCTTGTTATGAAAGGAAATGTCACTCTGGAAAACTGACTTGTGGCCAAATTTCTACTTAATTATGGACTTATCTGACCCTAGAATAATGCATTCAGTAGTGATGTTTCTCCATTTTTGGGCTCCCAGTTTCAGAAACTTAGTTTTGTTTGTGTAAAGCTTTAATATTTGTAAGTACTGCTCAGATACATGGGGACCTCCCTCTGCATGCAGAGTGCTTACCAGATACCATGCATTCTTGAAAAAATTGGACACTGCAAGCACAGCAGTGTTTGGAACTTGCATATAGCTATATATCTCTATGTATGTATCTATATATCTCTCTATATATGATATAGGAGTAATCCTGCTTGCCCCAGGACCTTTATGGGGGACACATAAATAAAAATAAATTTGAATTATATAAATGGTATTATCAAATTGGGAAATGGTTATTGAAGAAGTCTGTACTAATTTCAAGATTAGTATATAATATATACTTACTAGACATATTCTGTGTGTCTAGCATGAATATATTTTGTAATGTAAATGTGAAGTTGTGTTTATAAGCCAGCCAAACAGTCAGAACTATAATTATGCTCACTGAATGCTGGAGAAGGTAAAATAAAGGAAATAAAAACAGTATTGGAATTTATCTACACATAAAAGCTGTACTCAGTTTGTATAGGCACTTAACTTTTATTATTTCTGAACTGTTGCTGATTTAGATGTAATGATATGAAAAGACATTCAGTCAGTGAGTTTTATCATGTTAGTTTCACTGTTTGGGTTATTAGTCCATTTCTTTTGATTTCAGACTCTGGGAAATATTGTAGGTATCAGGTAAGTGAAGCTTGATACTCAAATGCTGTATTATATGTTTTGGGCTATTTATATATTTTTCCAAAAATCTGGAAGACAAGTATGAATGTAAAATCACAGGGCAAACAATAATTATAGATTAACTAACATTAATTTTTAATTCTAAATGGATTTTAAGATACTCTTTTTGCTAGAAAGCAGACTTCTGAGGAACTATAAAAATCTGTAATATTTTTGGTCCTAAAAATGTTTCACATACCCACAAATTTTTCATTTATCAAAATGGGTCATTTTTCCTGTGAAAATTTAGCGAATTTTTTGTATGTTAAGAATACATATTACCACGGAAGAAAAGTGGGAGGTAGTAGGCATCAGTAGCTGGAAACCTGAAGGTGAAACAGTTGTGAAATTTGGAAGAAGTAGAATAGTTGCCTGTGCTCTGGTGCTTTTGATTTCAGATTGTTAAATCTTAATTTTGTCAGATCCTCCATTTATAGTGAAGTCTTCTGATGTATCGAGGGGAGAGACCAGTTAGTGTTTGATACTTGACTATAGAACTTACTGACAGGTTAATATGATCAAGCTTTAAGCCCTTTAAGACTAAGATATGAAGTGTTCTTTGATACAGGATACAAAATGTAGTTATTTACAAAAGAAAAAAAAAATCTTTCAGAAGAAAAACATCATGGACAAACCCCTAAGCCTTTTATGTATGTACAGTTGTGTTCACCAGTTTTCAGAGAGAGGAAGAAACTACCTTGCTACTTTTGAATTTTTATTGTCTTATAATTGTAGATAGTATTTCAGTCATGTTGACTAGGCATTGTGTTTGATCAAACCCCCGGGTGAAATCAGTGGCAGGCTCTTTTTTTCATGCTTTTTTTTCTTTTTTAATGTGCTTGGTATTAGACTAAAGATAAAATGTAAGAAAAATTGTTTCTTAACCTACATGTAGATGCCAGCAAAACTGTGACACAAGCATTCTTGAAGGTCTGAGTTAGACTGGTTTAACTGAGAACTGATAATATCTTGAAATGGGTGAGAGACTACAGTCATCATTACTTCTCAGTCAATCACCAGGAAGTGAGAACATTAAAATGTTGTTATATATTAAATATATTTAAAAGCACTC